TTCTCTCGTTTTTGTTCCTCGCTTTTTGTTGGTACTGTCACTAGGAGTCTTGCACTGAGACCTCTTTCCCTTTATCCGCTTTTTGTGGCCGGTTGGACTCCCCTAACCGGCAGAAGCTGCAAACCTCACGGCCTCTGAACCTGTAATTGCACTATCACATTGTATATTTGCCTTGGGCACTGCGCCCCTAATACTACTAAAAACTTTGCTGGGGAAAAAAAAAAAAAAGATTGCACTGTGGAAAATCTGAAAAATGACATGGGGGCTACCGTCTTCAACCGAATAGAACAGCCGGTCATTATCACTGCATCTGGACTGAAAGTTGGCCCAAATGCACCTATAATGACTGGGCGTTCTATTCGGGTGAAGACGGTAGGTAAAAGGAAGGTACAGTGAGGGATGGCAAGGCAACCCAAACAGGCCAAGACAGATAGCATGACAGCTGGCCAAAGGTAGATTAATTAGGAAGGGAAGGTACAATAGTCTGTGGGATTTGATAGGTGGCCCGAGGAACTGCAGGGGAGGAGGCCCCTCCCCGCGCCCCATCTCTCTGACGCCCCCCCTGCTGCGTGTCTGGGTGCTGCTGCTAGGAAGCCTCCCGGGCAGCAGGGTGGCCCCCAGAGAGAGACCATGGTTTTGGGGGGGTGGGGCCCCTTTAGCAGGTCCCCACTTGGTAGACGATCAATGCCACAAGGGTTGGGCTGTTGCCCTTCCGTGATCTGATCTCCCCCCCTTTTGTGGATGTACAAACATGGTTGCCGGTGACAAGTAACCGGACTGCTGGGGGCCAGAATAGAAGGGGCGTTGTGTTTATTAAAAAAAAAAAAAAAAAAAAAAAAAACTGAAAAAAAAAAAATCATTCTAAAAAATGCTAAAAAATGATTGAAAAATCTGAAAATCCTGTACCCTGCAGATGATAGCGAAGCGGGTGGTTTGGAACGAACTCGTAGATGATCGCTTGCATGCCATCATTACAGACCGCAATCAGCTTGGCCACGTTCGGGTGATCCAGTCTCCCAAAGTCTTGTAAGATCTGCAAGAGGCACACAGGCACAAGCGAATGGGTGTTAGCACTTCACCCCTCGATTCAACTTAGTCATTCAACTGACTTGTAAGATCTGCATGTGGTGGTATTTGACTTCCGACGTAAGGCTCCCGGTCACTGTTTGGCATTATACTATATTATATACCTCTCAAGTCAGTTCACAGAGCAGAACTAGAGTCGCATTCAACATGAACTTATTTCCCTGCTAATTCTTCCAAGCCCGTTCTCTCGAATGTGCTTTCGCAGGATGGTAGACAGAGCCAGTGGAGAACCCGTCCCTCATTCACCTTATCTGTAGTTCTGAGAATTTTAACCTTTTCTCTGTGTTAAAATCCGGGCCGCCCGGCAGCCCAGCCTTCGTCCGGCAGGGGTTCCGGGCGGCCCGGCCGGTTGGGTCCCCCGGTTTGGCACCGGGCGGGCCCAGCGCAATTTTGCGCAGGGGGGGGGGAGGCCTTTTTTCGAGTTTTTTGGCCAGTGGCAGCCTCCCCGCCCCCCCGCGCGAAATTCCCCCCTCGTTACTGCCGCCGTAGCCTTGATTCGCCCCCCTGGTCGCCTACGACTCCGCGTTCGAATTTGAACGCAGTATTCCCCGCTTCGCTGCATCGCTGCATTTCCGAAGCCCACCGTTGCTGCCGTCTCCAAGCTCGCCAGTCGTCGCTCCTCGTAGAGCTGCCCCATCGTCGCCATCGAGCTGTGCCCCGTCGTCGTCATCGAGGTGCCCCGTCGTCGGTCGTTGTCGCCGTTGCTGCCGTCTTGAAGCCCACGCGTCATCACTCCCCGTCGACCTGCCCCGTCGAGCAGCCCTCCCCATCGTCGCCGCCTGTCAAGGTCCTGTCCCGTCGTGGTGTATCCGCCTCCACCTCCTTCCTTCCTCTTCTTCTTTTTCTTCCTCTCCTCCGCCTCCACCTCCTTTCGTCTTCTTCTTCTTCCTCTCCTCCTCCTTTCCTCCTCTTCCTCTTCTTCTCCTCCTCCTCCTTTCATCTTCTTCTCTCGTCCTTGTCCTCCTCGTCCTCCTCCTCCTCCTCCTTTCGTCTTCTTCTCTCCTCCTCCTCCTCCCTTCGTCTTCTTCTCTCCTCCTCCTCCACCTCCTCGTCCTCCTCCTTTCTCCTCCTCCTCCTCCCTATTTCGTTGGAGTTCTTTATTAGGCGAAGTGCCACGTGGCAACAGCAGTGCGCTGTGAACTGCCACGTGTCAGGATTCCTCTCTCTCTCTCTCTCTCTCTCTCTCTCTCTCTCTCTCTCTCTCTCTCTCTCTCTC